CCGTCATAACTCGTCTATATCAATCTATTTGTGTGTGAATATATTTACGTTTCTTCGTCGTGATTATGCATAGGACGTAAGATAAGGGTCAATAGTCTTGTTGACTTGATGTTTGTTAAGTTGAGACTTTCACAAAAATGAGTTTCAGTCGCGTCAGAACAACGCAAATCGGCCGTCGTCTTTCGATGAAATCAATCCGGCGATCATTTCATCATTCACTTTCATACGAAATGACAGTTCAGTTTTACCACAATCAAATGAACTCAACTGTCAGTCCATATTTCACACTTTAACAAGTCGACACATCTTTTCTCTTTTTCTGCCACACGTCTTTCTGCATCTCGTCTCATTTAGGCTCTCTACTTGATATCGCCGATCTCGCTTTGTCTGTTGATATCCACCATCGTCTCGATAGCCGTCAAGTACGCCAGTTCCACGGGTCAGCTCTTTGCCTACATGACTCGCTTCTTCGGTACTTTTGTGCTCTCCGTGCCGGTGGAAGCGACTGCCTGGGACCAGTTTCGTGTGCAACCGCTAGTCTGGGTGAGTTTAGGTTGACATTTTTTCCGGATTTATGCATTTCCTCGGTTCTCGGTTGGTATCCATGCTTGCCGGGACTATGGGCCGCAAAGAGGATGCTTCTTCACACCTTTGTTAACCAATGCAACATCATATCGACAGACTCTGTGACCACACATTTGTATTGTTTTGTATTTTTTATCAGGAGGCCTCTGATTATAGTAAAAATGAATGAACAATTCAGATCAGACTCATCGTCTGATGACGATGAAAATATTCAAGATATCTTCGTTTATAAGCAGGTTGTTGAGACTACAATCATATAAAATATATGAGGTTTATTCAGCATGTTTCGTTTGACATGACTAAGGACTGGTAGTTGAATTTTCCCACAATCAGATGCATACTACTTATTTTTGTTTATAAGTAGATATATTCCCCCTATTTCGTTTAAGGTGGTTCAATTATCCCACAATGAATACACCTTATATATCCGACGACAACTAAGTAATGCAATCGATTATTATAGCAAATACATCTTTGCTTCATTGGCAATATTAGCCCGGAATGTGATATGAAATAATAATGCCCAGCCTTGCTTGCAATTCACATCTACCCTGAAAACCCAAAGGCACTCGTGGTTAGCGCGTCGAGATAATAGGCTGCGCTGGCGTGGCTCGAGTCCCGCTGGGAGTTTGCATGAGACCAGTTGAGATGAGTCCGAGACGGCAGTTTTTAAAAGCACGGCTATGTGAAATGCATTGTGGGAAAAGTCAATTATCATTGCCATTATCAGCTTACACGAAACAGGATGAATACAGTTCATATATGAGACGTCTTCTGTCTCCATTTTGGCTCAGCCGATGGCTATGACGGCGGCTGGTTGATTTGGCGGTGGTCACTTTGGTACCGGTTTTCATGTTGCTTTCGTTATCCCTCACCCGTCAGTTCACAGAGCTTCAGCGTGTAGGAAAACCTTTTGCTATTTTCTGACTTTTGTCTACTCAAGACAATCTGGCTCATGCTCCTCTCCTCTCAGTTCACTGCAAATTTTGCTTGTTGTTTATCATCTTCACGCTTGCAGGTGTGTTGGACAGCTTGTGCTGTTGCGTTTGTTCTAACGATATACTGTTACACAAATAATGTTAAATATTGGTAGTAGTGAGAGCAGTAGTATTGCGCTGCAAGAATATGATCAACTATGGAAAAATCTATCTTGCGGAAGCAGCCGGCGGGAAGGTGTGAAATATGCGCTTTTTGATTGA